CTTCTGAAAGTCTTAGACCGTTTGGAGGAGTATGGATTGAAAATTTCAATGGATAAGTGCCAGCTCTGTATGTCACAGGTCAAATATGTGGGCCATATTGTCTCTGCTGATGGGGTTGCTCCTGACCCGGAGAAAATAGAAGCAGTCACTAAGTGGAAGATGCCCACAGATGTAAAAACCTTAAGGTCATTCCTAGGATTTTGTGGGTTTTACCGACGGTTTGTCAAAAACTATTCTGCAATTGTGCGTCCCTTGACAGAACTCACCAAAGGGTATCCTCCAGCCAAAGGGGGTGGAAAGGTCACCACAGAGAGAAAGTACTTCAAAGAGTCAGAACCATTTGGTGAGCGGTGGGACAAAGATTGCACTGAGGCTTTTAAAACCATTATCTACTGTCTTACTCATGCCCCTGTCCTGGCATTCGCTGACCCTTCCAAAGCCTATGTCCTACATGTGGATGCAAGTGGGAATGGCCTAGGTGCAGTACTGAACCAAGAGTATCCGGAAGGACTCAGACCAGTTGCATATGCTAGTAGGAAACTGAGTACAACAGAGCAAAGATATCCAACTCACCAACTGGAATTCTTGGCACTGAAGTGGGCCGTAGTGGATAAATTTCACGATTACCTTTATGGGGTGAAATTTGTAGTTAGAACTGACAATAATCCGCTCACCTATGTCCTCACTACAGCTAAGTTGAACGCAACAGGACATCGCTGGCTGGCGGCATTGGCCACATATGATTTCAGTCTGCAATATAAGCCAGGACGTTATAACATCGATGCTGATGCATTGTCTCGTTATCCTTTGGAAGGTGGGTCACCTGATGGATGGACAGAAATATCCCAGTCAGAAGTGAAAGCAATCTGTCAGATGGTGACAAGTGACAAAAATGAGGAATCTTCCACCAGACTGGTAGATCAGTTGGGAGCCGATTCTAGCATTGTTCCACCTGTTTATGCACGTTTTACACAGCTGGAGCTAGGACATCTGAAACAGTTGACACATGCTGACCTTGAGTTGGCTCAAGACAAAGATCCAGTCATTGGACCGGTGAAGATAGCTGTGGAGCAAGGAAAGGTACTTACAACTGGTGCAAGTGCTAACCCGCGAATGACTCTATTGCAGAGACAAGGTCCTAAGCTGGTCAGCCAGGATAAGCTGCTGTACAGAGTGTTCATCAGTCCCTGTGGTAAAGAGAAAAAACAGCTTGTTTTACCTGAACAGTTCCATCAACAGGTAATGCATTCATTACATGATGATGCGGGACATCTAGGAATCGAGCGGACTACAGAGCTGCTGAAGGACAGATTCTACTGGCCACAAATGACTTCTGAGATTGAGAAGTATGTCAAAAACTGTGGAAGATGCATAGCCAGAAAGACATTGCCTCAGAAACGCGCTCCTCTGAGTAACATCACTAGTAGTGGGCCAATGGAACTTATATGTATTGATTTCCTGTCAATAGAACCAGATTCCAAAGGTGTTGCTAATGTCCTGGTTGTCACTGACCATTTTACACGCTATGCCCAAGCCTACCCGTCTAAGGACCAGAAAGCAGTGACTGTTGCAAAGATTCTCTGGGAGAAGTTCTTTGTGTATTACGGACTTCCAGCCCGTATACATTCAGATCAAGGGAGAGACTTTGAGAGTCGACTTATAAAAGAACTTCTGGGAATGCTGGGTATTAAGAAATCAAGGACGACACCTTACCACCCTCAGGGAGATCCACAACCTGAACGATTTAATAGGACACTACTCTCCATGCTGGGAACTTTGGATGCTGCAGAAAAGCAAAAATGGAGCCAGCATATCAGCAAATTAGTACATGCATACAATTGTACTAAAAATGAGGCTACCGGGTACTCACCTTACTTTCTTTTGTTTGGAAGAGAAGCCCGCTTGCCAATTGATGTGTGCTTTGGTACTTCTTCAGAAGGAGGAGAAGGACAGACATACCAGAGGTATGTTGAAGACCTAAAGACAGATCTTCAGAAAGCCTACAGACTAGCTTCTGAATCTGCATTAAAGAATCATCAGAGAAATAAACGTCTCTATGATCAAAAGGTGAAATATCAAAGCATAAGGCCTGGAGACCGTGTGCTTATTCGAAATCTCAGTTTCACAGGAAAGCACAAACTGGAGGATAAGTGGAATACGGCCCCGTACATTGTTCTTGAAAAGCTTGACAATTTGCCTGTGTACAGACTCAAATCAGAGAAAGGAACTGGAGGAGTCAGGACAATGCACAGAGATCATCTCTTACCTATTGGAGAATCGGTGAGAATGCCAAAATCTGTTAGGAGACAAGAAGTTCCTCAAAGGCCAGTAACTAGGTCTAGAGCTACAAAAGAGCACAAAGAAACATTGAGAGAAGAAAGAGTATTGGAAACTCCTGTAACCACTGATAATTCCTCAGGAGGTGAAGATGAAAGCTATGGGTACTATAGTCCAGATAGGTCTAGACAATGGACACAGTTAATTCCTGATCTCCAGCACAAGTTTGAAGTTAAAGAGGATGAAGTAACTGCCCACACAGACAGTGAATCTCAATATTCTGGAGAAGAGGAAGTGGTGGAGGAAACCTGTGAAAACGAGGATTTCAGAGAGAATATGCACCCGATTGTAGACTCAGTGGTGGAGGAAGAATCTTCAGAAGGAGAAGTAAATAGCTCTGATAATGCATCAGACTTGGAGGCCGAACCCATGGAGCATTGTCCCAAAAGGAAGGTGAAACCTGTCTCTAAGTTAAGCTACGATGAACTAGGCCAACCTAGTGAGAGACCCGTAACAGTTGTGCACAGAGGAATAGTTATTCATCTGACAGATTCCTCAAAGATTGAACTTTGCCCTTCAAAAAAATATCGACCTTTACCTAAATGTGCCAGGTGTACTAGGATATGTCCTAACTCTGAGAATAGACTCATTATTCATATTTAAAGTCTGTATACTCATGGGGACATGAGAATTTCAGAAGGAGGAGGATGTAACCCTGGGTTAATTTTGGGTTACTTTTCGACATGATTATTCTTTATTATTATTTCTATTTTATTTATTTGTTTATTTTAAATGGTATGCAGAAATGAGTGCTTGGTGACGAGAGTTTATTATTGAATCAAAGTGTACCTGTTCAGAAAATGTTCATGTCAGTAAGTTGTGTTTGGTTTAACGTTATTGGCTAAAAACAGCTTGATCCCGCCTCATATCCGTTATGGCAACTGTGATTGGCCAGTGTTAATGTCACTCGAGGGAGGGTCAGAGGTAGGGGAAGAAGGAAAGAGAAGGTGAATGTTGTCGGCATGATAACAGAGCGCGCTGGGTTTTTGTGTTAGATATAGTCAGAAGAACTGCATTGTTTAAGTGTTAAGCTGTATAGTATTCTGTTGTGAGGTCAACCCGATCACACAGTGAAGTCAACACGACGGGGTTCAGAAGAACTGTTAGTTTAATGCTTGATGATCGCGATTCGCAGTGAATCGGACTATTCATGTTACTGGTGAAAAAAACTTAACTCAAGTTTATCCCCTACATCGGCGAATGTGAGAGTATCAAAGGTGATCTAAGCGATTGCCAAGAACTGTGAGTGCATCGATCGAGAGTGACAGAGCCGCTGAGGAGGAATCCAGATAGCGCTCCTAATCCCCGAGTGGTTAGGAGTTCCTCTGGCGTCGCGGGAGTTTGCTAACTGATGACAGCTTCACGTGGATGGATCTGATGGGTGACGGAAATCATTAACTCTTGCCACTTACACTCAGGTACACTTTGTTTATTTTATTTTGTGCTCTTATAGAGCGAAGCGGCCATTTTACGTTTCACTCGGCCTCAACGCACACAAGCAACGTTTCAGGCCTGCAACGGGTGTGTGTGTGTGTGTGTGTGTGTGCGTGTGTGTGGGCCCACAATAAGTTGTGTTTTTTCATTGGTGAATGATATAATGCTTTAATACCCTGTGATTCATTGAGTATATTATTACAGGGTTAAAGTTTGTATTTCTGATTGAAACTGAGGTTTGTTTAACATGCTTTATTTTTGCACTGAGTTTTCATAGACACCAGAATTACACTGGTATATTGGTTTACATTAGGTGAAGACAAATTTGTACTTTGTGTAAAATAAGGAAATGTTAATTTAAAGAGTGATTCATTAGATAGCCCTATTTTGATGGAAGTTTAAAAGGCTAACCCTTTAAGTGCCTGTTGTTGTGCATAGAAGAGTCAATCAAACACTGTTTTGAAAATACCAGTTTATTCAGAAGTTGGTTGAACAGATTTGATTCATATCTAATTTGATTTCGGTTTTGTCAATTCTTTCTTTTCTTTTCTTTTCTTTTCTTTTAAATAAATCCATTGTATATTTCAGTTTTATAGTGTGGTCCCTTTAATAGAACAGATCGGTAGCTGTAATTGGTTAAAAGTGATATTGCAGAGATCTGAGTTGCACTTTGCAAGAAGTAGTGTAGAACCAAGGGTCACAGATTGATTATAGGATCACGTCGAGAGACAAATAAACGAATCTGGGTTCAAGCGTCCAACATTCCAAAAGGGTAGATACACCTAGGACAGTAGGGGGCGCTGCACTTACCGATTAGGAATGTTGCTGTTACTATCAAAAACGGGAATCGATGGTATTGTAAAATGACTAAATCACGTCATTCTCCCTACACTCTAAAACAACTGATATATTTGTATATTATTTATATTTTGTAAATAATTGTTAAAATGTATGTGTATACAAGTTGTCATTACATATATGTAAAAGCACAAAAAATAAAATGTAGTATTTTAGTTTTAATTTATGATTTCATTTGATACATCAATTGTTATTCTTTCTTTTCTTTTTTTATGGCTACAAATTATAGTTTGTAATGTTGTGATTCGTGTTGCAGCTGATTTGCTTAGTTCAAGTCTTAGAACTCTTTATTCTCTAAGAAAAACACTACTAAAGCCAAGTCCCTTTGCGCTCTGTAGCATTTCAAATCGCAACTTCATTGCAGTCAGTACCTGTTTGCTGAAAGTGTGGACCACATGCATCCAGTAATCTTCAGTGGGGTCATAGCAGTAGATGGATTTGGTCAGGCCTCCAGCAACATAGATGAGATTGTTCAGTGATACGGCTGTGATGCAGCGCTTAGCGATGGGAATGTTGGCCCTTAGCAACCAGGAGTCGGACTCAGGGTCATAGCACTGAACCTGAGGGCAAACACACACACACACAGTGACATTAAAAAATTAAAATTCACTTAAGGAATTAACTATACAACTGGTAGCAAAAACAGCCTTATTCAAGCCTGCCTCCTCGGGCTGCAAAACAGTCGCAACCGCAAACATACATCAATCCCCCTGCCGTCCTTGAAAGGAGGGTGTTGATAACAACCTCACAGATTTTTGTGATCTTAAAAATATGAAACCACCCTGGAGGAATACGAACTCACAAAAACAGTAATCGGTGATCAGAATCATTTTGTGTCCTGATAAAAAGGCAACATAATCGCACACAGACACAATATCTCCTGAGAAAAGCCTGGGTGAATTTCTATCTCCCTCTCTGTGGGGAGCATGTAATAGTGGACCGGAAGGTATTATAGAGGCTTCACACATTTTAGAAATAGCAGACACTTGTGCAAGAGAATGCTCTGGGCACAAATGATCTCGCAGACTAATAGGATAGAAACGTGACTATGACAACGATAGTAGTCAAATTAAACACACAACATGACATATAATGCTTTGACCAATCAGAGTTGAGATATGCACAAATTAGTTACCATCAGAACGTCCTTTTAAGGAAGCAGGAAATTCTCCAACGTTATGCAATTCTCTGAGGACGTTTCCTTCAATATCCAAATCAACCATCACAACAAATTAAAAAAACACAATGTCAAGCTGTACAATTTTGGAATTAAGGGTCCAAAGGGGTTTTATTTGGGTCAGCTAGTTCAGAACTAATCATATTACCTGCACTGAATCACAGTGAAATACATTAAGGAAATCCAAGAAAATATCTGCGGCTGAGTTTCTCTCCAAAGAGACACCTGGAGAATGTATCAGAGCGGGCTGACAGATCCAGGTCAGATGGTCGTAACTGTTGATCTCCATTAGGGGGCAGCGGGCAGCACATTCAATGCATCTTCCATCTATTGGTTCAGCTTAGGCAAAGTCAGGCCGTGATGAAGGAAAAACTCTTTCTAACTACAGTCTAAGAGTAAACAAGCTGCCATCATGTAACAAAGGGGGAATCTAACAGCTGGTAAACTCAAGGTTTAGGCGATTGATGCCATTTTGGTCACACACAATGTCATGGTTACCATTGTAGGGGCTTTGTATACTTAAACATCCTGTCATTCGTGAGCAGAATGTATTTAAACGTAGAATGACCTCTGGTTCAACTCAATTATATATTGATAAGTTATTCAGCTTGAGTTTAAAGCAGTGTTGTTATTGTTAAACTAAACCCTAAAACTATTACAAAAATTTTTAAATAAAACAAAATCAAAATAAAAGTTGAAGTTAAAGTACTAAAATGACAAACTTAAACTGAAATAAAACTGAATTAAAGCTAATTAAACTAATAAAAATGACCAAAGCACATAACACAATTACTAAAACTTAAACTAAAATAAACGGAAAATATAAAAATAAAAGCTGTATGACAAACCTGTATGTCTTTTCTTTCTACAGTTGAACCTACTTACCCGGTAATTAAAGAATGTTGAAGAATGCTGTTTTTGTCCACACAATAAAATTTGGACAAAAGAAAGTCAGAAAAAACACACAGATATTTCTCAAAATATCTAGTCATTCCGGTCTTGAATGACATAAGTACGAGTAAATTATGACATAATTTGCATTTTTGTGCGAACTGTCCCTTTAACTGTTCCAAGTGATGACTAACAGACTTCAATGAGACATGAATTATAAGAATTTACTATAGTAACAGGATACAAATAAAGTCATCGCCCATTTCTCAAGTAATATATGTAATCAGAGCGGTTTTATTTACAGCGGCTGGGTTTATGGTCCACTGCACTGTTCAAAGAAATGCCAAGATCACTACACTGGAAAACAGCATGTCACACCCTGGTAGCGTGACCCAAAAATAAATGTCATGTTTACATGCAGTAAATACACAATGACATGCAGAGTTAACAACAGGGTGGTTTCAAAGACTCCCTACTCCTCAAAACCATGCGTCAGACTCTTCTACAAACCTTATCTGAGCATGTGTTGTCATCGGGCCCTCCTCCAATCACATACAGTTTATTGACACAGCTGATGACGGCTGGCGAGCTGACAGCCTCCTTCATGGGTGCCACTTCTGTCCAGCGGTTTGAGAAAGAGTCGTAGCATTCGACGCTGCTGAGTCGTGACTGACCGTCGTATCCACCAACGGCATACACCTGTAGAAAAACACACAACGAGATGTTAAATTTAAGTGATGACCCTGGCCTGTACACAATACTCCATTTTAGTGTTGTGTAATGTAGGTAAGCTCAAACTGTTTTTGTCCGTTTTGAAATGTACACATGACGTTTCCGTGGATGAAACAATCTGGAGGTGCGCCAAAGAGTGTGGATCTTGCCAAACGAGAACTACGGTTTACCCTTTCATTTCATGATTCTCAAATTGATTTAGTGACAAAGGGATTGTTACAGACACACGCACAAGCCTAGAGGCTACCACTGCATTAGCAACATGACAAATCTGATTATACCTGCGTTTATAAAATCACTAGTTCAACACAAATGTAAAAGTTCTGAATGTCAATTTCCTTGACTACTTCCAAGAAATCCAGTGCGTTATGCCTACTTTCTAGTAGGTGAAAAGCAGTACGTCTGAATTCAGTGTTTGTAAAACAGTGGAAAATACCCATGACCTACTACTTCAGCCGAGATCCTGAAGTGCACATCCAAAGGACACTTTACTGTCCTAATGAGGCCACAGGAAAGGAGTCGTGAATGACAGTGAAGCGAAACAACTGAAACACGTGTAGTTGTAGTGCATCCGAATTTCATTTAAACCACACACATTCATACCATACATTTCAATGGTCGTGAAGTTTGTTCCTCATTAGACAGTATGCGATTTTGAATGAAACTATTTTAACTTACAATCATCAAAACTGTAAAGTCTTTGTTCATTATTAAAAAAGGAATTCAAATATATTTAAGGTAAAAAAATATATACTGAATGTAATTATTAATGTAATATTTATGGGGTTATACCATTTGACATTTAAAAACCTAAACTAACCTTTCCATTAGTATTTAAATATGAATTATATAAGATTTTCAGCCTCAAAAATCAGCTAATTACAAAAACCTGACAATGCAAGAAACCCTTCTTTACACTTCAAGGTTTTCTCTAGTTTTGATGTCAAATCATTAACCGACATGCCCTTATCGAATAAGTCGGCAGAGACACTAGGGGCCAGGGACGGACTGGGACTAAAAAACGGCCCTGGACTTTGTCTAGGCCCGGCCCAAGGCAATCGGCGCGCGGAAACTCGACAACAACAATAACGCCTGCCACCAGGCATGTGTCACAAGACTTTAATTGTGGCTGATACTATACCATCCAAATTATAGCTAACAGCATTATACAATCTATTCCATGCTGTCTTAAAATGAATGTATTACTTAATAATCTTAATTAATTTATGCAGTAATTAATCTTAGCTACTGCACAAATAATAATACCACATCTAAATGAAAATAGGCTACACCATTACAAATGTAACTTCTGTATTTAAAATCTTCAAAGTTTGTAAGGATTAACTGTAACGTTACCAACATTTTTAAAAGTAAAAGCACAACATATTTCTTACTATTAGCTACTGTGGCATTTTACAGCTAAAATGTTGAAGTTTAGCTGTTTTAACTACTGTAATCATTAAAATGTAGCAAGCTGAATATCACTTCCTAACATCATCCCGTGAGACACGCGCACACTAGCACACACACTAGGGGTGGGAATCTTTGGTCACCTCACGATCCGATCCGATTCTGGGAGTCACGATCCGATTCCAGAACGATTCTTTATCTACCCGGGCGAGACAGCACACTTCAAGTGTAACATCAAAGAAAGCGCGCGTCTCTCACAGCGTATCCTGTGCAATGAAGCCTGTGAATGTCCTTGTAATTCGCTTCAACCTTTCCGAAATTTATGAAAGATTATTTTACGGAAGGTTCGAGTGGTGTATGTGTGTGAGGAATTGGAAGCAAGCAGAATACGGGTGTTTCTAAAGCAAACTCAACGTCATCGCACATCTGGTTAAAAACTAAGCTCAGAATCGATTCTGGAATTCTCAGAATCGATCCAGAATCGTTGGAGAGAGAATCGCGATGCATCGATGGATCGATTTTTTCTCCCACCCCTAACACACACGCAAGGTCTCTAGCTCGCTCCCTCTCTGTGACTGCGTGTGTGGCGGGTGGTGGGCCGGCCCGCCGGCTGTCCTGGAGTACCGGCCGTTCTGTGATTCTCCAGATCACACAGATGGCCAGTCCGCCCCTGCTAGGGGCCCTATTTTAACGATCTGAAATCAAACGCGAAACGCAAGTAACTTTGTGGGCGGATCTCGGCGCTGTTGCTATTATACCGGCGGGATAAATGACTCTTGCGCCCGACGCAAATCTAAAATGGGTTGGTCTGAAGTAGCTACATTACTCATGGGTGTGGAATTGTTTTCTGAAACCGCAAAATAGCACCAGGGAACGTTTGCGCCGGAACACGCCTCCTCTTTTCGCTGAACCGCTCCGGGAGCGCAAGTTCATTCCCTAATTTACCGACGTGCGTCTGTGGAGGGAAAAGTCTGCGGTGCGTCGGGTGCAAAATAGAAATGATACATGCGTCGGTGTACAAAGTCAATTGCGCTGGGTGCAAGATAGGGCCCTAGAGGTGTTACATGCAAAATAGGGGTAACGGATGGAAATTGATGTGTGCAAATCAGGTTCAACTTAAATCATTTAAGACCGTTAAAAAACACCGTTCAAGGTAGGCTATTTGCATAACCTGGTTATTAATCGCAGTTGATGTAAGACTTATTGACAGCATCCAACAGATGTGATCAAAACATCACTGCTGCAAAAACATGACCTCTCTGAGTGCAAATCGTTGACAGTTCTGTGTTGTAACGCATCACTCAATCACTCTTGTTTGTGTAAGTCCCTGAAGAGATTGAGGAATTTCTCGCTCACTCTCAAATGAAAACACGTGGAACGCAAAACCACTGAAGAGCTCGTCTCCTTCTCCTGCCTCGTGGCTCAATTCTGGTAAAAAGAAGAAGGTAAACATGTTTCCCTTAATGGAACAGCATGAAAACCGGTTGAACCAGTGTTGGCGCATGAACGTGCTCGAACACAGAGGGGCAACACATCACTTACGAAAAACAAACCAATGTGGTTTGTGATGAGCTCTTTGTTCAGACTCAGATATTATTGAGACGGTCCTATCACCCCTGGGACTGATAAGATGTTATATCAACAAACAGCTACAAAAATCATTATACAGGAATTATAAAATATCTTCAGAGGAATTAGATTTCTTGTTCAGTGTGTGCGTAAGTAAAAGGCTAATATATGCTGACAAGGTGTGAGAAGAGTCATTCTTTCTCATTTAAATGTTAATTATAATTTTATATCACACACTTGCATACACAATAATCACATACAGTATATCTAACCGGTGTCAGCATGGCTCAGATCAGATTATTGCAGCTTAACCCTGTGGTCATGGATTTCATTTTTCAAGACTCAGTGTTGTGACTTCAGTTGATTAGATTCTATCTGTCAGTCATGAATCTTTCACAACCAATAAATCCAACTGCAGTCAAACAATCCATATGTCTGAAGGAGTTGCTGCTCAAAAACAAACCCAAATGATCTTTGGGGTCAAATGAGTTGAGTCCAAAACTAGCATGGGCCTGAAACACAAAGAGTTGGAGAGACTAGAGCAGACACCCAGAGACAGGAAGCTGGGGGGAAATATCTGAACAAGCCACAATACAAAGCATCAAAACAAACAAACCAAGAGAAAGAGGCGTTCATGTAGACAGCTGGCTATAACTTACAATGCATGTTAATTAGTCATTGCACAAGTAGCTTTTGTTGGCTCAGTTCATTCCATTAACAACAAGACACTTTTCATTTATTGAACGTTTGAGCCAGTTCCTCACCGCCGATTACATAAAATGCATCAGATCTTTCGCAAACAGGACAGAACAAAGCTATTTAACCCCCTGCCAAAGTAAATCAGATTTCTGGAGCTGATAACATTCGTTAAGAAATGTTGAAAACAGCCTCATGAGTGATGCAATATCAAGTGAAGTATACAGATCCAAACTCTTTTGACAGCGCCCTTGTTTAATGGTTCACATGACTGATCAGTTCAAAGTCAGTTACTGATTATTAAAAAAAATGCAGTGTAAGCAAACCAGCTCCAAGGGAGAAGTTAAAAATGAATTATGTCATTGTTTAATGAAAACAATGTTTAATGAAATCAAGTTTCAAGCAGGAAAAGAAGGACAAATCGAGGCTTTGAAAGTGATAGAGGAACTGAGCACCAGACAAAGAGCAGTAAATGACAAGCAGGCAATCAATTATAAGGGTGGGGGAACATGTTTAAAAACTAAATACGGATAAAGATACTCCAACACCCATTTCTATATGTGGGAAATATTCATCATGGTTAGAGGCATGTAAACCACAAGCCATCATCAAAATAGGAAATCAATGTCTTCTTCCTGTGGCATGACTAGAGCCAAGACTTTAATTCCTGGGACTCATTGAAAAGGCAGCAAAAGCCAACAAAATGCCCTTAAAAGTTAAACACTGGAATTTATTGGTTTATTATTGGTTTTTAAATGTCTCTTGAATGGCTTATGGTTTCATGCTCTCAGCAGCCAATAATTCACAAAACACAACACATTGTGGTTGGCGCAAACAATGTTTATCCTTGCTACATGTCAACTGGTAATAAATCTAGTATTGTTCAAATTTTTTCACATTTGAGTACTTGTATATCCATATATATATATATATATATATATATATATATATATACACTTGTATATCCATGTTATCTACCAGAAGAGGGTTCCCCACATCACAGGTTTCCAGTTAAGGGCATCTAGTGGGCTATTGGTGTATGAATGTGGAAGCAGTTCAACTCACCTTTCCTAACAAGACAGCCATTTTGTGTCTCCAGCGACCCTTGTTTAAGGAGGCAACCCTGATCCAGATGTTGAGCTGGGAGTTGTACATCCAGACATCCCTGCTGTTGATTCTACCCCCTGAAATTGCAGCACCAATTGGTCACCACCATTCTTGCATGTGCCGTCACACACTGATTATAATCCTTGCAACAATGTGAAAAGGTAAATGACCCATGACACACTTTGTGAATGTTCCTTGTTTCTTATCTGATCTCATATAAACACATTATGTGAATAATAAAAACCATAATTGTGGATCTCCCAGTTCTGAGATAAGTCCGGTGAAGCAACATAATTAGACCAGATTTACCATATATTTAGTCGGCAGTCATATATTTATGAAAAAAAATTTGCAATGCAATGAAAAACCGCAATTCATTATTTGCATATACACTGCAGTCACAAGTTTGAGCGTGACTGAATTTATGTTTCTCATCATCTTAAAATCCTTTAATACTTAAAGCTTGAAATGGGTTTTGTATAAAATAAATGAATCTCTTACACCAGATAGTGAAGAAAAATCAACCGGCATCCGGCATGCTACTGTTTAAAAAGCATCCTAGGATGCACCTCATGAAGTTGGTTGAGAAACTGCCCAGGGCTGCGTTTCGCAAAATCATAGTAAGTAGATCGTAGAACTATTGCCACCAATGGTCTCTAAGATCAACTTGGCTCACAATGCTTTTGGGAAACTCAGCCCTGAGCTGTAATCTAGACAACGTGTGGCTACATTGAAGAACTAAAACTATAAAGTAGCTTTGATTCGTGAAACATTAATTTAGTCACTACATAATTCCATTTGTGTCATTTCATAGTTTGAGTGACTTTATTACTATTTTTACATTGTGTAATTGTAGTTAAGACTAAGCAGGTAGGTATGACCAAACATTTGGCTGCTAGTATCGGTTAACATTTGTGCATCTGTGTGATTGTGCTAACAGAAGGTAATAATAAAATGTTTTGTAATAATCTACAAAACTGTTCCAGTTCTTCAGGAAGCACCAGGGTGGAAAGAACACACTGGACTCAGCAAAGCTGCTCAACCTGAAGCTCATCTTTCTATCAGTTTCCATTATTTTCTGACTTGCATATCTTAGTCTTGAGTTTGACAAACACACAGGCTTCCTGCCTTGGAAAAGCCTGGCCCTGGCTTACTAAAACTTCAAAGGAGGAGTAGAACAAAATGTTTGGGGAAGGATTGAACTTAAAGGAGGTTGAAACGAGAGAGAGAGAGAGAGAGAGAGAGAGAGAGAGAGAGAGAGAGAGAGAGAGAGAGAGAGAGAGAGAGAGAGAGAGAGAGAGAGAGAGAGAGAGAGAGAGAGAGAGAGAGAGAGAGAGAGAGAGAGAGAGAGAGAGAGAGAGAGAGAGAGAGAGAGAGAGAGAGAGAGAGAGAGAGAGAGAGAGAGAGGCGTTACCTAGCAGATCTGTTCTCTTGGAAACACGTCGTGAGCGCCTGGCACATGCAGAGTGTAAACTGATAGTTTAGGATTCTAGCCCCCTCACTCATCCTCACTCTCTCTCTAACACTCTTTTCTCATGAGATAGCTCATCTCTTTTAATCACGTCTTGTCTTTTTTTGCTGAACCTGCTGGAAGTGAGCTGCTCTGTAATGCATGGTGCCCTTCTGTGTCTAACAAACCCCTGCAGACTAAACCAGCCAAAAGATGAACATCAAACTGACAATAATTGAGAAATTAAGACAGAGGATACGGATAATTGACAGATGGAGGATGTATAAAAACAACCCTTAGAAATAAAAAGACCACAATACAGCAATTAAAAATTTCTAAATAATGTCTTTCATTTTACAGTTAGTAATCCATATATTAAAGACCTCACAAAATCAAAAAATCAAGTTTTGGGAGTTGTTGTCCATGTCTGTTAGCTTTAAGGTCATCTATATGCTAATGTACCACTAAAAACTGACAAAAGCAGATATACGCATTCAAAATGTATAGGTTTTCTATGTTAGAGCAAAAATATTAATAGCTCACCTCGCACTTTCAAGGTTTACTTATTTATTTAAAATTTAGAAAACATTTTATCCGACCAAATGCTAGAATGAGAATGTCCCTCTCCATAATACTACCATTAGCAATCTTCCTGGATGTGATGTAAACAAAAGGCTACTGGCATTGAAAAAGGAACAAGGCCTTTGATATACCTTGCCTAAAATTCCTAAACACAGGGAAGAAAACCAAGTCAAGTCTAATGACAATTGCCTACAAAACAATTTAGAGCTCAAGAATGTTACAAATATACATGATTACCTGAGACCAGAATGTCGTTCCTGAGGGCACACACAGCATACTCTGACTTGGTGAATTCTGGCAGTTTGGCTAAGGATTTCCATTCCCCAGTTACAGGATCATAGCACTCAGTGTACGGCAGGTTGAAACCTCCTATTCTCTCACATCCTCCGACTACCACAATGACCTCAGAGAATCCTGTAGACCTGCAGGGACATGACAGGACGTCAAACTTGGACACATGGACAAATGTAAATCATTTACTCCTGGTAACATTGCAGAAAATAGGAAGTGTTCACCTGGCAAGCACATATTTTGTCATACTATTAGTACTGCACAACTCATTGTTTACATTTTGTTTTCTTGTCATTTTCAGTCTATTTGTTCACTGAATGACACTGAAATGAGAAAAGTACAGAACCATTTCTAAGAATAGCAGTAAATATCACTGTCTACTAGTGCCCAGAGCACAACATGCATTCTCTGTTCAAAGAACCAATCGGCAGGCAAACACATTTTATCCAGAACCAACTTCCCCCATTTTTTTCCCTGAAATCCTCTGCCTAGAAGACTGTGCTCTCTGTGTAAATGATCATGGGGTTGGAGAAATGCTAAAGTTAGAGTTGAACTTTGAATACCCTCTCTGGGGGAAAGAGCTTAGAACGAATAGAGCAAGTCGCCCAGTCAATTCATGCAAACATGGAAAAATCTGATCAGTCTTTCATGTGTGATGTAATTAGTGTAAATGTGCTGGACCCACAAAATTCCCTGAGAATAATTGGTGGAGATCAGCTAGGCCCTCTCCCATAATTCAAATTTAAGAACCATTGCAAATCTGCCTGGAAACAGAAGGTGGAACTACAACTTTCTGCCAATTGTAAGCCGACACCCATCTGAAAACTAACAGTACGATGAAGCTGAGGTGTTGTTTTCACCAAACCAAGGAAAAACAAAGGTACATGGAGCTGAAAACAAAGCACCCTTGCATTGTCTTGCATGAATATTTAGCACACTTTTGTAAGCTTAGCTGGTTGCGTGCAGCGTGAGACTTGGGCTGCATTTATCCTAATGATTCTGTTACACCTTTCTTCAAGCAGTCTATAATGAGACTGTTAATAAATAAGCCCTGTAACTTTGGTGGTTCCTTCAGCGAATCACGTTCAGGCAGATTCCAGGTCACCCTACATTTGGCTCTGAGAAAAACAGAACTGTGCATTTCCCCTCCCCTGCTCTCTCACCCCATGCTCCTCCAGACATAACAAAAACAGCGCGCACACACACTGCAAGCAGGATCAGGTCAACAGGAACATGTTTTGAAACTCAGGTGTTTATGTGTTATGAAGCTTGTGAAGGAAGAATGTGTACGGGCAAGCCCCGCTGAGACTTTTTTCCCTCAGTGCGCTGCAATGCAGTGGGCCTGAAGGGGCCGTCTCTTCTTGCTCCCTCTCACTGTACTTACAGTGTGGCTCGGATTGTTCCAAATCCATAAATTAGAGCATTGGGTTTCCAATGATCAACTATGGAGTGCGAAGTTATAAAAAAACAAGCCTTCAAGTTACTTGTTGAATCATGCCTTCGTGTTTCGAGGATGACTGAATCTATAATGTAGCCTCTATAATCTCTGGGATCTTTAAGGACATGTTTTACTTTTGAAGCTACTACAAATAACTAGTAAACTCCCATTTGCTTGATGTTTCTGGGTAGCTAATAATTTGAAGTCAAGTCATAGTAAACAAACTCTTTGATAGTGACTTGAGTGAACTAGACAAACAGTTCAAGCAAGGTATAACACCGTGTCCTAAGCAGACGCGATGCGATAAGATTTCAGCGACAAATCATTTGTCTGTCCACACCATAGACTGTAAAAAAACTATTTGCCGCTGGAATCTTATCGCATCGCGTCTGCTTAGGACACAGTGTAAAATAGAATAGTCGCGTGTTGCCGTCGCGGCTGGTTAGGACAAAAACTCTGATTAACATGGAAAAGATACCTTTAGGACACGGTGTAAAAGACTCTTCTCTTTCCTGCAATCACTGGTCCATTTTACACAGTTTAAACTGCTTGGTGCATTTAGCGTGTAAAGATTGAGACTTGGATTAATATGGTGCTTAAATAGAAGTAGGCTACATTATTAGCACAGGAAATGTTGCTAGAAATACCTGCGTGGACGGGTTCTAGGCGACATCATTTCGTTGCCCAACACATGATAGCGTCTGGCTTCGTGCAGAAGCTGATAGCACTCCGGTGCATTTTGGATCAACTGGTCACCTTCTACCGTCTGTACGAAATAATTTGGATGCAGCAGGGGCAGGCGGACATGGTTGAGAAGGTCTTTGAGCACGATTCTGCGGTGGTCCACATCGTAGTACACCCAACGAACCACTGCTTCAAACACCGTCTCCTCCTTTCCAATGACTAGCTCGTCACTAGCGATGTACTCTTCCAGTTCTTCCTTACGCAAGTCCAAGAATTCTTCATGCTGGGCCACGTCGGCAAAGGTCTGCAGCGCGTAAGAACGGCAGCGGCTGGCCAGTTGCTTGAGGGAGTGCGCGTCGGCAAAACGCTGGATGCCCAGGCAGTTGCAGGGGTCAAGTTGGTCCTCCAAGAACTTGGCACAGGCATCACGGAGAGTGCTGATCTGGAAGAGGCAGGAGGTCTCAAAGAGGAATTGCACATTGTCTGTGGTGATGCGGGCACGTCCAGTGTAGACGTACTGTAGGAAGGTGTCCATGGCTTCGACACGGATGCCGTTGATCTCCACCAACATCTCGCGGCTCTCACGGTGGTCATTGCAGAACATGGCACGGAAATAACTGCTGCAAGCTGACAACACGGCACGGTGGCATGGGAACTCACGACCCTCCACGCTGATCACCACGTCCGTGAACAGTCGGCCATCACGGAACTCATTAAACATCTGTAGAATGCTCTCAGAGTGGCACGGGCCAGAGGTGAAATCGAACACATCATGATTACCGACGGACTTGTTGTCCATTTCCAGAACCTTTCTCTTAACTGCTGGAGACTCACGGACTCCAGAGTCCTCCCGGTTCAGTCTTCTGCCCAGAATAAGTACCATTGCTATTAGATCAGTGAGGCCAGAGGCCCTGTAGACAATAGAAGAAAAAGATGCCTCAGCTGAAAAGAAAAAGAGAAGTATTAATTTAATCAGGAAATCCATTAACTTGTTATAAACATATACAAATTACAATGAGACACATTTCTGAGCCATTGCTTTTGTAACCTAATATAAAAATATGCTGTATTATCTGAAAATAAGCTTAAAACTAGAACCTATACAGCTTTTCAGGCTCAATGCACAAAAGGTAAAGGAGCAGCTGATCAACCATGCAGCAACATACACAAAGTGTTGCCATGTTGCTGGCAAAATGTTATGTGACAAACATATGACAGATTAAGTATTAAACCTTTTTTAATAACAGTTAAATTACATTTGAACTTTTTTTATATCAGAAAAGTACAAATCTATGCCTAATTTACAAAAATGACATTGTCATGACAACCTGACAACCTTTTGTTTGTCTCACAATGGCCTCTCATTGCCCCAGGTGAATTCACCTTTAGACAACAGAATGCTGCTTTTCTTGTACTGCAGCCGCCTAGCGGTCACTTCCGTATTCAACAAGACAAGAGGATCAAAACAAAGAACTTGGGGAACGTCAACAAAATATACTTCAGAAATTGACCTGCCACCACGTGTTGTGTTGACTGACACAATTAATAATTCATATTTGTCCATACCACTTAATTTAAGATTAAAATCAATCGTAATAAAATTAAATTATTAAGTTACATTACATCAACTTATGCTTTTTAAAACATATTTATAGCAGGCTGTAAACTTAGTAAAATTCCATAATTCGTGTCGCAGTTATGCCCTTTTTTTCAACAGGGTAAAAAACAGATAGCCTACCGTGGTATGAAGAATCTTAGATAAAAATAGACTTTTTTTTTTTTTTTTTGCATTGGTTACGTGGGACTTAGGCTATATAAATGCACGCATTATGAATACATACATTTTACAATTAATTGTCACACAATGTGTTTCATACCTATATAATTTAAATCATCATAGATACAAAACTGTTACAGAATAGAATAGAACAGAATACAATACAATAGAATACACTTTAGGCCTATTATATTATAACAAGCATAAACTCACCAGTTTAAAAAGTGAAGACTTTGTTGTGGAAGTCTCTTAAATAGCCTACTTAAAGTCAGAAAATCAGTACATGAAAACTCTGCTCGTCTACCCCTCGGCGGTCATCTCTATTCCAGCAATGAACCCAAAAGAACGTCTGAGGAAAAAACGGTCCGCTGGGTGCTTTATTGCCATCATCACATCCGAAAAACACGAGCGGCAATCAGCTGATGACGCAGGGAGTTCTGGGAAATGTAGTCTTCATGAAGGCTGACAGAATGACGGCAGAAGCGCAGGTGACTACAAATACCAGAGTGCTCAGAACGCCACATGGCTAAAGATTGTTTGTAAACGTTTCAACAGTCACAAGAGTGGCGGAGGTGAATCTTATATCGGAAAGATATTCAACTCGTTATTTTTTTCCCCTCTTTAGAGTTTGAAAGAAGGTTATAAAATACATTCATATGCAAAAAAAAGTAACACCATTTAGTAAACAATCATAAACAACATGCACACATGACTTTAAATTGACGTCTTTTTGTTTTTGCAGACATCCCAAGTCTCCCGGAAGTTCCGGGAGTCTCCCGCATATTGCTAGCGTCTCCCTGATGCCCGCAAATTAGTTAAAATCTCCCGGAATCTAGAGCGAGATAGAACATACTGCGCGCAGAGCTTTGAAAAACTCATATTTAACGGCTCTGACTGCGCGCATAACATAGCCTACAAAGCGCGCGGCGCGTGCAAGGCAGAGAGGGAGAGAGACCTTGCGAGTGTGCCTCAGGAAAGCTAACGTTAGTCAACCCGACACACCATACCCCCCCCCCCCCCCCCCGTCAACAATCCGGTTGACCGAACAAAGACCCCCCCCTCAACAATCCAGTCACCAAGATATACCTCCCTGAAATGACTTCTTGCAGGTTGGGATGTCTGTTTTTGTAGCTACTGATATTTTCTATCCCCTAACGACCAGAGGCGGACAGAGTACAGAGCTTTGTTACTTGAGTAAAAGTACAGATACCCCTTGCTAAATTTTACTCAAGTACAAGTAAAAGTACTACATTCAGATGTCTACTTAAGTAAAAGTACTAAAGTACTTGTTTTTAAAAGTACTTGAGTATCAAGAGTACAAAAGTAGATTTTCTAAATATTGCATTACTAATCTACTGCCACAGTGCTTACATTTATGCACAGAAACGTCCTACATGGAGTTATGAAAAATGTTAATGTTAATACCTTGGAGAATGTAAAAGGAATTGAAAGTAAAATCAAGTCATTTTCATCTTTTTACCATGTTGCTTTATTTAATTTAATTAAATTTTTGGGGGGTCCCATCTTTAAATGCGGGGACAACACACACACACACACACACACACACACACACACACACACACACACACACACACCACATGTAAGGGTGGCGCTGCCAATAAAGCACCTAAAAGCTGTCACAAAGAACCGGCAAAAGGAATGATTATGAATATGTAAAATATAGCAAGGAGATATTTCAAATGTTTATTAATAAACACTTGTTAATAAACAAGTGTTTTCTTTGTCAGTGTCGGCTAGATGAAGTTGACGATGCTGACTCGCGATCTTCAGTAGTGAACGCGCCAGAGAGAAATGCACATTTCATACGGATTACATAAGCAGAGAGCAGTCTGTAGTCTGTTTTCTTTCGTTTTGAATTTTTCTGTATAAAAGTAGACATGTCTGTGAGGCAAGTAGGCTACCTTATACGCTGAGTTTCGGTTCATTTATGAGACGAGATCCAGTTCACGCGCCGGCGCCTCCGTTTCTTATCTATCGTCTGCTATTTACTTCTTATTTATTAAACCCAGGCAATTGGTTGATGAAACATTGATTCAAATTAAGATACAATTAATGCAAAACGAAATTCAGGTTAAAGAAAGGTTTTGTGTTTTCTGTTTGATGTCTCTGTGAAAGTTTTAAAGCATTTTTTATGCCGCTTTCAGAGCGCTCACGTCCGTAACGGAGAACACGTCCATAACATTGTTTTTTCCTCATAAATGCAAACCAGAAAAATCAAATAAAACAAAATTAATATTTTATGTACTGTGGAGACTGAGCCCCAACCCTTCTTCATTCGCTGGGTAGTAGCCTACTTTGGTTTGCGCAGTGTAATTCACATAATCAGTAAAAATATATTTTGCCTCCTAAAGTTTTTTTTTTAAGAAATCAGAAATCCCTCGTGGCTACGCCACTGCCACATTTGAACCTGACTGTGTTAAACACACCACATACTCAAGAACATCAAACCAAATGCTTGGCTTACATTAATGTGCAATATAAAATCTGACCATGGAGTTGACTTTGGCGGAAAACTGAAAGTGATTGCTGATAGGCTGTCCCAATCAGTGGCGCCTGCACAATCCAATCACGTTTGAGAGGGAAACAACAAATTGAGGGTTTCCGAGATTTTTCTTTACTTTTTTTTTTTTTTTACTCAGGTACTCACGGTTATGGATATAAATGTATTGGAGTAAAGAGTACAATATTTGCCTCTCAAATGTACTTGAGTAAAGTCATGAGTACTCCCCAAAAATGATACTCGAGTAAAGTACAGATCCCTCAAAATTGTACTTAAGTACTGTACTCAAGTAAATGTACTCTGTTACTGTCCGGCTCTGCTAACGACCCTAATCACAGAAGAGTATTTTTACATTTTTATTAAGACATGCTTAGTATGCTTATTTAACTGTCTGAACTGAGATGAGGGAACACGATAGCACATTTCAGGTTTTCCTATAGGCTACATTGTTAGAACATTTTTACTTATACTATAGCCTATAACTTATATGTGAAAGCAAGACACGTATGTTTAATTTGGGGAGCGGTGTACATTAACAATGTTTCTCTCTTTCCTTTCCATTGTATTGCATGAGGTTCAAGACAAAGATTTCCTTCTCTCGCAATCCTTTCAACACCAAAGGCACCATTTAAGTGACGTCTGGCTCATTTGGAAAGCTGGTGAGGCGGTTTAACTCCCTCTCTTCTTCTGCCTGGAGGCTAAACGGTTATAGGCCTAATAATAGGCTAAAAGGCTATACATATCTATTTCTATATTCATCACTTCCTCTGAATGCCTAACGCTCATCGTAAACATACGTAGGCTTCTGAATCATGACATGTTCAAGAAACTGAACTTAAAAAAATATATAGCCTTACTGCTTTTTCATTTTCTTAGAACTCTAATTAAAAAACACCAAATTCAGGAAATTAGACTTACAAATGAAATATTATTTATTTCAGTCATTAAAAGACCAAAGAGGGAAAAAAACTTTCTTAGCCCTATACCCAAGATTTTTTAAAAGCTTTTACAGAATAGGTCATATTTAAAATGTATAAACATGTATATGCATGAACGAGGCAGTAAGCAGAAGGTATCAGAAAGCCACAGGTTCAAATGAATCTGACTCAGTCAGAACTACACTAGAATAATTCATCCCGTGTTCTTCATACACCAACAACACTTTTCCCACACACTTTTATTTGCATTGGTTAAAAAAAAAATCACCCATTTAGGACTAAACCGTTTTGCTCCAATGCTAAATTTGGACTGTGAAGTTCTCTCAGATAAACAAAATATATCCAAGCAAAGTCTACTTTAGTTTGCAATGGAAACTTGTTTCCGCCTTGGAATAAAAAATAAAAAAGGTAATTGCGACTTTTTTATCTCACAATTCAGACTTTATAACTTCTGAGAAAAGTCATGTAGTTATAAACTCACAAGTGCAAGTGAAAAAAAGTCAGAATTGCGAGGTTATATCAGAACTGTGAGATTAAAAATCACAATTAACTTCTTTTTTTTTTACATTCCGTGGCAGAGACAAGCTTCCATAGTTTTTTTCCATAGCAAAAAAAGGCCTAAAGCATTCTGATGCTTTCTCTTTTAATGCTTTCACCTGCTATCTCTCTCTGCCTTATTTGTGTTCTGTTGCTATCGTGTGTGTCTGTTCTCTCTTGGTTTCCACCATTACTGCACAGCAGCTGACTGCACTTTCTGCTGTCTAAAGCACATTCCTCTGTCTCTGTGTGTTTATGTGATCAGTAGTCATTCCAGCATTAATAGTGCTATTATAGAGATCCACTCGGTTAAGCCTCATTAATGCACAACAGGAGAAAGTCCAAAGCAAATTTACTGACTTAAGCCAAGCACAATATAAGACGAGAAGTATGGGGGAAAGTACTATTTTATATTTGAATATTAATTAAGGATGCATGGCCAAAAAAAAAAAAAAAAAAAAATTCTTAAGTGCACTGCGGGTTGTATCCTAAACTGGCCACAGGGTGGCAGTAGTGACTTTGGAATCAGCATAACAGGGAATTTGCAAGCGCATGCAGGATAACAAATGGGTATTTGGATTTATTGGTTTAAAAATAGTCATTTAGGGCTCATAATTTAGAAATAAATCCATGCTATAATATGCCATATCTGTAATTATTTATTTAACATAAGGTCTCATCATTTCATATAGCACAACATTTTACATAGGCCTAGGAGTGAGTTTTTGAGATACAATCATTTTGAGGCAAGTGTAATTTCATATCCAAGTGTCCATGTTTGCTTTAAGTCTTACAGGTTGAAACAACAGCCCTCTATTTGACATCAATTCACACCGTTTAAGAATAAGTAGGCTATTTAGTTGACAAATATGGGAATATTACATTAAAACGTGGCATAGGCCTACGTTTTCTGACGTTTAAACCAAACACCGCCCCTACTGTCTCCCTACAGTTTACATTCGTTTAAAACACTTAAAAGTTCTTTAAAAGTAACCAAATATGTTAGCCTACAGTGATTAGTGATACGCTCTATAATAATCTGTATTGAGTAAACAAAAACCTAAAACTAGCCCATAGGTCCTCGCAACACAAGAACATGTTTTTTTAGAAACAATTACCTGCGACTTGCAGGCCCCCAGGTAGGCCTATTTATTTGTGTAAAAGCGGAAAATCCCGTTCAATGGCCTCGATCATTACAGCACATCCTTCCAGTTCTCGCGAGAACTTTCGGTTCACGAGCGCCACTGAGTGAGCGCAGTGATGGCAAGCTGGAGTTCGTAAAGCGACGGAGGCAAACTGTAGTGAAGCGCCTTACGGCTGGGGCAACATTCACATCATCTCTTCCCCCCTCTTGCATTGTTGCCCCTGCCTTTTTTTGCTCTTTTTAATGAGGGGCAGGATCA